ATTGGGGTTAAAATTTAGAACAAATTTATGTTTAAATTTTTTTTAAAACGAATCCTTTGTAGAAACAGAGTTACTACACTATTAAAGCCTTTTTTGCTTCTGTTATCAATATAAAGGATCAGATTTTCTAAAATATATAAGATTATTAAGAAAATTCAATAAAAAATTATAAGCACCAGTCCAGTTTACGGATTTAAATTACAAAATAGGATTCAAATCTTTATAGTTTTATTTGTCTAATATCTTTCTAAACACTTTAAAAAACTTGAGTTTTTTTGACTGTCACTGTATAAATTATAAATCAATAAAAATATTTAAAATAAATTTTTTAGTAAATAAAATTTATTAATTTAACATAAAATGATTGATTGAATCATCTATTAATTCTCTTAAAAGTGATTTTATCAAATCAAATTCCTCTTTTTAATTCTTAAACAGATTAGTTGAATTAAACTGTAAAGTTTTGATATTAAAAACTTATAACCATTTTTTAATAGAATGAAATCATCCTTATTTTTATTTTCTTTATAATTCTTAAATAATTCAATTAAATAGTAAAGAGGTTTAGAATCAAACTTTTTAGATAAAAAATATCGTAAAAGTTTTCGATCAAAAACATCTAATAAACTATTAAAAGTAGTATTGTTTAATAAATCATTTCTTTTCATACTCCTTAAAGTTGAAATTTTTTTAGAAAAAACTTCAATTATTTTATAATGTAAATCACCCACAGCTTCGAAATCTTCTTCTTCAATCAGTTTTACTAATTTTTCATAGTTAAATTTAAGTTCATCAATTTGATTAAAATCATTAAATATTTTTATAATTAAGTTATAAAACTTACCATAATCTTTTATAAGGGGATTATTTAAACTTTGATAAATGGTTTTCAATAATATGAAATCTCTTCTGTTTAACTTTTCTGAGTTACTGGGATGATATACTGGTAGGTGGTATAAAAGAATGAGCGAAAATTGCTGTTCATAAGACCCATAAATACTATTAACTAAAAAAATTTCAATGTGTTCATTCTCATCAAGTTGTTTGACTAAATGATCATTATTTATTTTATTAAATAAAAGAAAAATTAATTGACGTAAAATCTTTTTGTTATTATTAGATTTCTTTAAACGATGAACATCTCTTGTAATCTTAC